CTCCCCACTAGAACATCTGGTTCAGCAATGTTTCTTGCTCCTCCCTACCTGGTGCAATGTAGCCATAGGTCATCTGAGAGAAACCCACCCAAAAATTCCAGGTTCTGAAATGGTCCCCTGGGCTGGATAGTGCAGGATAGCTCAGCATCAGTATCATGTGGAGGGCTTGTTGGGGAGTCCCGTGGGAGACAGGCAGATCAGCAGGCTGCGCCATGGAGCTGCTCTGCTGCTCCTCGGACATGTCAGGGGTCCCTGTGCTGTCCTTGGTAGACACAGTCAAGCAAACTTTTGCTTTGCATTGGTAACTAGGAAATGGGTTTGGTCTTGGTTTGAGTTCAACAAGTGCTTTAAAAGAATAGGTCCAGTATGGTTGCAGTATAAGAAAAAAAAAAAAAAAAAAAAGCAGGGTAATGGTCCAAACCATGTTTTTTTTGTCTTTGGGCTCAGTATCTATTTTATGCTCTGGTAACAATCTCGTTAACATACTTTTCTGAAAGGTGCCCAGTGTAAAGAATCTCAGAGCTATTGGTTAAGATCTAAGTCATAAAATAAAAAGAGATTCATTAATAAAAATTGCTAAGCCGTCACAAGACTAAATGGTACAGTAATACCTTTAACTCTTGCAGTTCTTAGTTCATCATTCATTCAGTCTAGATTGCCAACATAAAGTTTGCAGTCTCAATCTACAAAACTCATTTAATTTTAAGTATAAGCACTTTTGCCATGAGATTGCTCTTGCCTTTCCTCTGACCCTTACTGTATCTTCTTGTCTTCTCTGAATTTCCTGAAAATAACAGAAATTGAATTTTTGATTTATCATCTGATCTGCTGCTGAAGCTCCCATCTTACAATCAGCATCTTAGGTTTTTTTTAAATCCTGCATACAGTGCTGCAAACTACAGCTAATTCACTGAATATATTATGGAGGGTTTTTTTTAGAGTAGTATGTCACAGAAGTGCTCACAGTTACCAGCTGCCTCTGTTTTAGAGTGTCATTTAAGACATCTCATGATTATTCTATTTCATCTTAATTACTAAGGCTGTTTTGAAGATGTCTTGATTTTCATAGCTTGCTACAGTAACCATTACAGTGCATCAAGGTTTGTCCAAAAAACCCTCCAACTCTATTTACAAAGTCTTACCTTGATCATAGAGTCCTTGTGCACGTACCAAACACTTGTCTCCTGGTTGTGCTCAGCTGGGCTGAAGTGAGGTGGGTGAGGGAGAACTGCACACAAAGAAAGAGATCAGAAGGACACAGAGCAAGCCCAGGCAGAAACATCAAGTAGTTTTGGGATGTTAAAAATAAAACCTGTGCATGTGACCATGTAGCTCAGCTTACAGAGCTGTCTCTTCCACTGTATTTGTTAACTCTGTCACTCCTGGAGTGATGCTCTGCACACAAGTGGAGAGGCAGAACCAATAGCACTCTGTGTCCCCTGCATGAGAGGAAAAGATCAAACCCCTTCCCCAGCCCTGTGTCAGCTGCCTGCTGCTCTCTGATGGAGGTTTGCCCTTTACAACTTCACTCCCTTTAGCGCCCACACCAGTTTGTGGTTTCTGCAATTGGAACTGTCACCCAGTTCCCATTGTCGCTGGACACAGCACCTGGCACAGACAGCAGTGGTGGTTTTCTGATCTGTCCAGGCAGGGTGGACATAAGGAGAGGAAACTGGGAATGGCCCAGACTTGAGCAGCTGGGCAAAGGTGCCTGCCCTCCTCCTAGGGACCCCCAGGAGGCTCCCAAGCTTCAATCCCTCCACTGCACAGTGCAAAGATCCCACCAGCCACCAAGAGTAAGCCTGAGGGTACAGCTCCCAGCCCCACCCTTCCTCAGCCAAACCTGGGGAAGCAAAGGAGCAGAGGAGAGCAGTCATGCTGTAGTGCAGGCATGGACTCATTAAAGCATTTCATAGTGACTTCCATGGTGAGCACTTCATACTGATGGTGAGTGTGGACAGGTCGTCCATGCCAGTGAGGTTCAGGGGTGCAGATGGGGCAGGTGCTGCTTCTCCTCGGGGTGCTCACCCCATCTGGCTGCAGACATCCCTTGTGACCCTGCTGCTGTTTGCTGCCACCTCTCACCGCCTCACAAACACAGAACAATCCTTTTGGCTGTGGCGGCCTTGAGATCCTAAATCATTATGAACTTGATACTTTGCCTTATCTTTCTCTTTCCCATCTGTGAGTCCTCAGTGACTCTCACAGCTTGAAACATTGCAGGCAACTGTTTTCATTTTTAGGGCTGAACAAAATGTCAGTGGGTGACAACCAAGGCTTGCTGGTGCCAATTGCAACTTAGTAGAGCTAAATATGGTCAGCAGTCTGGCTCTGTGGCCTTTTTTAGAAAGGGCTGCATTATCGTGATACCATTTTCTGGCATCCCATTGCACTGGGGAAAACAAGAACCAGGGGTATTTTGCCTAAACTTGAATTTAACCCAATCACAGCATGATGGCTGATCTGTTTACTCTGTCCACTTCCACTTTGCCTCCCCCAGCTCACGGTCACTTGTCAGCCTTCAATGTTGTTGTCATCTTTTCAGGCTGTGTTTAAAAACATGCTGAGGGTGTGCCTCATTTTTGCATGAAGAAAAATTCTGCTGAAAGCTGTGTATTGGTTTAAGAGTAAATTCCCTCCAGCTGAATTAACTCAGATTACAAAAACTCTCAGGGCTTCAGAAGTTGTTGTCAGAAATGAAGCTACCTTCTGTCTTAATTTTACCTGCACCTGATGTCAGCCTGGTCCCAGGTATCTCTGTTTTCAGACAGTTGGAACTCTGGTGGTGCTTTTTGCTGTTTCCATGCCTTGCTCTGTGACCACAGACCCAGTCAGCCTGGACCTGCCTCTCTCTCTGGTAGGCTGCCCCACAGCCTTACCCCACACAAGGCTCCACACAAGTTTTGCAAATCCTTGCCTGCAGGTGATGACTGTGATCCAAAAAGGTGTCATCTGTGGTGGCTGTTAAGGGCAGGTTATCACAAGACATGCAGAATGAACATAACTCACCATGCCTGAAAATATGGGCTTGGTGGGGAGAAGGGAGCAGAAGAGCAGAGAGACAGGAAACAGGAATTCATCCTTGTACCTGCATTGCATTAGCTCTGTTGCATCTGAAACCAGACTTTCACCAAAACAAGGAGAACCTGAAGATCTCTGCTGCCACCCATAACTGTGCTAATTTGATTCAAGGTATAGCAGGAATGCCAGCCAGTAGTGTAACCAGACCTCCTGCTGCATTACAGATGTGCTTAGGTAGGGTGCAAGAAATGCGAAATCCCTGAAAGAAAAGTGGAACTGGTTTTTTTGTATGTTTATTTGGGTTTTTTTTTGGTGAAGATGCTTTGGGAGAAAGCTGTTGCCTGTCTGCTTTAATCTATCTTATCTCAATTCAATGAGTACAAATGCTGTGCTTCTATATGAAGCCCTGTGAAATATACCAGTGTGTGTATGTACACAAATATATAGTGATGTGGCAAAATTGTCTGAGATCAGGTAGCCTGAGAGAGGTGAGGCTGCTGCAGCCCCATGCCCATGTCCAAGCAATAGCCAGACAGAATTTGTATTCCCAACATGCACAAATTCACGTATGCACCAATTAAGCACACATGGACACAGATTACACAGATCCATCCACACAGAGCACTGCCACACAGCACTGGCAGCCTCATCCCACACTCTGCTCCAGCTGAGCAGGACGGAGGTGCACTAGTGAGTGTCCGTGTGTATCTGTGTATTTACAGAAGTATTTACACACGTGTACAGTGTCTCCTTCCAGCAGCTGGCCTCAGGCAGTGCCCAGAAGCTGCCCCTCAATCCCAGCCCCTCCAGCCCCCAGCAGCAGCTCCCTGTGGTGCTCTGACCACGAGTTCCTCACGCAGGGCAAAGTGCAAAAGGAGTTTCATGGGAAGATCCGACAGGCTGCGCTGATCAGGTGCAGGCCGTGGACAAATCATCGCAAACCATTGACACATGACTGGCCCTTTTATTCCTGTATGCTGTATTTGTTTCTCTGTGTGACCTAGATCACCCCTGGCTCCTGCCCTAATCACTCTTAATGAGTCCTGTGCAATCCCCAAAAGCTCTTCCCCTGCGTCTCGTCCTGTGTCCCACACCCCTGGAGACAGCTACACCTCTAATCCTAAAGGTGCTCTGGGGCTGAGGCTCCTGGGATGGGGCTGGACAGGGTGTTCCTTTCTCTGAGTCCTTAATTCGTGTTCCCACCTGCCACTGTGCTCCTCAAAATGGGTCTTTATTGGACTGATGGCTCCTGGAAGTGGATACTGCCTGGGCTCCCCCTCCTGCCACCATCACCCTGTGCTCCTGTGTGGGTGTGCGGGCCCGCTTGTGCCACACCATCCAGTGTACGTGTCTGTCCGTCACACACCGTGGCTGACCCGCAGCCTCTCGGGCCGCGGCATCGCCCGTGCCACAGCGAAATGGCTCCGCTGCTTGCCGCACCCGCAGTGACGCGGTCTGCGGTGGCACCGAGGCCACCGCTAGGGGACCTGCATTAATTAAAGTGGAAACATCAGCCCGCTGCGCTGTTCTGGGCCGTAACAGCCCCGGGAACATCCCTGCCCCTTTCAGCGCTCCCCGGCACGGAGCTCCCTGGCGGCGGCGCTGGCGGGCGGCGCGTTGGGGCCTAACACCGCCGTGACATTGGCGGCTGCTGCGCCATCGCTACCACCGCCTCCGTGTCCCGGCACACGACCCCCGGCCGGCGGCCAGCGCCCCTCAGGCGGGGAAGGGACGGGGCACCTCCTCCCCTCTCCCCAAACCCTCCCTGGCGCGGCGCCACCACCCATCGCACTACAACTCCCGGCGTGCCCCGTGGCGGGAGATACGCGCCCGCGCGGCGGCGCGCGCTGCTTGTCGGGAGCCGTAGTCTTTCCTTCGGGGCCGCGCCGTCCTGAGGAGGGCGCCGCCGCCGCCGGCCGGTCTCGCCGGAAGGGCTCTTCCTCCCAGAGGGCGCCGCGGCGCGCCGCGCGCGTGCGCAGTGCCGCTGCCAGCCAGCGCCGGGCAGGCAGGGAGGGAAGGAGGGAGGCAGGGAGGGAGCGGCGCTCGCGCGCCTCGGGCCCGAGAGGAGACAGCGCGGTGCCGCGCCGGGCCGGCAGCAGGTACGGGGGCGGGGGGGAGCCCCGTTACCTCGGCTCCGGCGGAGCGAGCGTGACGGCAGCCGGCGGCGCGCGGGGCCGCGTCCCCGCGGGAGGAGGGACCGGGCGGGGATCGGCTCCCGGCGGCTCGGGGTGGGG